CCTTATCACCAGATCGGTGCTATCAAAACCTTTTAATCCGCGTGGAAATCCGATGTTGTTGATGTTACTGGAGTAGCAGCAGCGCTAACACTGTATCTTTATGCGGATTTTTTGCGCAGTCTTAATATTTTTGTTGCTTGTGCTGGCATTTTGTTGTGTGGTGTTTCAAGCGTCATCGTTGTTGTTTAGGTCGATTGGTGTATACATAATAGATCGATATACACATTTCACGCTTCAATTCCTTGAGCATGAAGTGAAATCGTTATTGACCAATCGATCTCTCACCGATTATTTCGACTCGTGCCCAAAATCAAAATGTCTTTCAACGATCGGTGTACGTACTGATTTATACCCAAAGGTTGTTTCTTGCTAACTTTTTCTTCACTTTTTTCAATTGAAGTCATTTCTGTTGCGCAAACGCCGTGTTTGCTTATTATTCACGGGATTGTTATTACAATCTGCGCAAAACAGAGCAAAACGACCCAGCTCGACCCTACTGAGCTCATAGCTGCTTCTCAAGAGCATCGACTTCATGATAATTTCGCGAATGTTTGCATGTATGTTCTACTTTTACCCAGTTCTGACTTCCCAGTAATCCTCGTGGACGTACTATGAATGACTTTAGCATGCTGGTCAGACAACAGCTGTATGATGTACACTGGTGAAATTTTTCGTCGAATTTTAGCTTTTTGAAGTCTTTTTGTTTTTGTTCTGTAAGGAATGAAGTTTTTACAGGATCCGAAACGAGTTCGCGTCACTGATTTTTTTGGTTCATCGAGAATCATGCGCCCCATTACAGAACAAATAGAGTTCGATGATGCATGGCTGAATACAGCTCCATTTTACGGGAATTCCTGGGAAGATGATGATGCAAGGTGACTGATTCATTTGAATTGTTTTATTTGTATACAATTTGTTTTATCTGCTAGAAATTTATAGCGAGAAATCAAATACCGAATTATAAAATTTTTCGCTAGTGCGCGAGTGGGTTGTCCGAGTTATTAGCA